CGGGACGGGCAGGGGGTGGTAGTACACATGGGGTGGGACGATTCGTTTTTTTGTTTTTGTTTTTTTTTTTTTTTTTTTTTTCGTTTTGGCATGCTCGCTGATCGGACAGCAGGGTGACCCGTTGCATCCAATGGTCAACTCAACCCCAAACCCGTTTCGATGGGCTCGGGCGGGAGGGGACATGTGCTTCACAAGTGACAGGTTTGCAGTGACATTCACGGGGTGATCTTGCAAGCAAGGCAGTGAATTCTCCACTTTTTTGGAATACCAAGCGGTGCATGTGGGCAAGTTGAAAACTCTTTGTTTTGTTGCCAATGACGTGAGGGGCGCGTCGTGTACTGGAGGGTGCGCTGTGTTGGTCGGAAGAAAGGGCGGGGGGTGGGGGGGGGGGGAGGGAGGGAGAGGGGTGGGTTGGGGGTGGTCCCTCTCTCCCTTCAGGTCCGGTCGGGATAGAGGGCAAAGTGGGGCTCGCTTTGCCTCAGATCTGGGCTGGGGACAGCGGGAAGTGGGAGACAGCCTGGCGGTGTGTACACCTTGAGCCTGACAGAGGAACACAACTTTTCAGGGTGCCGGTAGACAAAAACGCGCACGGGTTTCGCACGGCATCGTCACGGGCATGTAGGCCTTTCACACGGGCATGAAGGTTACCATTTTGATGTTTTGCGGGGTAGGTTTGAGTGGCATATTTTGGCGAGCCACTGTTCACTTAGTTACCCTGTGTTAAGTTTCTACGCTTTCAGGCGAGAGTGAGTTTCTCTGGTGTAGCACCAGAGTGGTGGTTGGCGGGTGAGATGTTGAGTGAGTTTTTCTGGTTTGGTTTGCTCCCTTTTATACTCAGTAAAATGGGGCGAGGGTTTGGAGTCGCATTTCAGTTCCAAATGTTACGGGCGTGTTCTAAACATTTCTTACATTACGAATTGAACATTCGTGTCGCAACAATAACTGCTGAGTGGATTGTGGGAATTTGATTTCGAGTCTGTTCCTGGGTTGGCTGTCGGATGTTGAGAACGAACCCTGGCATCAGGACATCGCGACTCCATTTCGTTGCCAAGTCAGCGTTCGTTTTCATGCGGCGACGCTCAAGCCACAAACAAACCCAGCGAGGCGTGTGTACTTTTGCGAGCTCAACGAAAGGCTCGCTGCGCTTCGTCGGAGCACTATTCCGAGCGCGGCTGGAATTTTGTGGCGAAAATGGTTGAGGCGCACATCTTTTGTCTTGTGCCGCATGTTTGTCACCGCTGTTATGATAACAATGCACTGTTGGCTCTGTTCACGGCCCACGTTGAGTGGGCCGTTGCCCGTGTGACAACGCTAATGGGCGATGCTTTCTGATTGGGCCACGTATTGGGCTGGGCCTCCGGTGCGCACCATGTATACACTAACCGAGAAGCTCACGTCTCGCGGCTGGGATTGGAGCACGCAACGCTGCACCGAGTTCTATCGCGACTGTTCCTGAAAATTTGGGATTGCGGCGGCTGCGAATGAAAGGCCTTCGCGGCGACGATCGCACTGCCGTTCACTCTTGATCTTGACCTAGTTCAGCCACCGTCGGGAATTGTACCCTAGAACGTCCCTGTTTCGAATTCGGATCCACTATATATTCCGATCTTGCTGTGGCAGTGCAGTGCATTACCGCATCGCATTGTAGTACCGCATTACCTCGTTCAAACTATCGCATTCACCGTGACGGCCCGTGGCCGGGCCACCGGCATTGACGGCATTGACTGCATTGACGGCTTTGACGGCGGTGTGCGGCATTTGTGCGCGGTGCCAGCTCGGGCGTCGACGGAGTCAGCCTGACACGCGGACTACAAGCACGCTGGTCGCGGTGGTGTAACGTCTGCGGACGGAGTCACCCTAGGAGTGTAGAAACGCATTCCGCTGCGCCTCTGCCGGTAACCTCGTTTTGACCCAGTGGGTAGCGAGGTATTACACTGGTACCAGAGCTTAGGGTTCGAACCCCGGCTGGACACATTTTCCGCGCACGGCTGAGGTCGTGGCGAGAACTCGAATGTGCGAAAATACAGCTGCGGTTGTATCCAGTCGCGAACCCAGCGACGATCCTGGTAACCGCTGTGCATCACCAGCGAAGTCGCTGACTTGGTCTACCAGCGAATCTCGAGGTCCTTGTGGGGGCCGAACTCCCTGAACCCAACGAGGACGTTGGCACCAGGGGGGGACGAGTTAACGTCTGCGGACGGAATCACCTAGAGTGTAGAAACGCATTCCGCTGCGCTCTGGGTAACCTTGTTTTGACCCAGTGGGTAGCGAGGTGTTACACGTGGTCTTGCCGCGGTCACTGCGCGCCGACGAACAGCCCGTGCGCTGCCTGCCGCGGCCGTCGCGGCGGTACTGCTTACCGAGGCCTTCGGCTCTGACGCGGATTTCCTGCCCGAATGGAGCTCTGAGCTTTCCCTTGATGAGGTGAATTCGCCGCGCGAGGAGATGATGCTCCGCACGCCACCGCGTCTTGCGCCGCCACTGCCGCCGATGGCGGCGCCACCGCCACCGCCGGTGCCTACTGCTGTCGCTGCTGCTGCAGGTTGGATGGTAAAATTTGAGCCTGAGACGTCAAACTTCGATGGGAGGTGTTGGGATGAGCAATGTGCGGCCGCATTGCAGCAGTCGCAGCAGCAGTCGCATCAGCAGAAGCCAGCAACAGCAGCCAGCAGCACGGCAGGCAGCAGCCAGAGCGAGCAATGTGCCGCCGCATTGCAGCAAGAGCAGCAGCAGCAGCGGCAGCAGGAGAAATGTGCCGCATTGCAGGAAGATCAACAGCAGGAGCAGCAATGTGACAGTGGGTCGCAGTGCGAGCATCACTACCAGCCTCTGACTTGGACCAGCCTGCCGCTCTGCTGCACAAAGCAGTTGGAGCCGCAGCGGCAGCTGTTCCAGCTGCCGCCAGCCGCAGCACCAGCACCAGGCAGCCGCAGCCGCAGCCACCGGCACAGCAGCCGCAGCCGCAGCACCAGCACCAGCAGCCGCCAGCACCGAACCAGCAGCAGCAGCCGCCAGCCGCAGCAGCCGCAGCAGCAGCAGGCAGCACCAGCAGCCGCCGCAGCAGCAACAAACATCGTACTGCGAGCAGCGCAATGGCCGAAACAAGGGGTACAAAATGGAAGAAGACGTCGCACAAACGAATAGCGGGTCAGCCTGTGAAGAGGTGAGAAGATCCTCGGCCATGCCGTTATCGCAACGTCTCTCCTGCATCACCTTTGGTCGGCTCTGGTCTGGTCGGCTCTGGTCAGGGTCAGCTCTTTTCCGGTCGACACTTGTCTGGTCGGCTCTGGTCTGATCGGCTCAGCTAGGTCGGTTTGGGTCAGTTTGGGTCGGCTTGGGTCGGCTGAAGAAAACTGATGCGCCTCGCTTGCTCCCTTCCCATCCAGCGTGCCAGGCTTCTGAAGGGTCTCCCCAACCTCTGTGTACGCGTGCGCCCTCTTTCTCCCCTCCTCCGCAGGCTCTACTTCGTCTGTGCGTCTAAGCACGTCATGGGTTGCCCGGCAAGAAAGATTGAGGATCGAGTGGCTGGCGAGGCCCGTCACCCGCGCCGGCTCAAGCTGACAAGGCAGCGTTGGAAAAAATGCCAGCCGTGGGGAAAACCACAACTGCCGCAACAGATGCAGCTACAACCAGAGCCAGAGCTACAGCTGCAGCTGCTTCCGAAGCTGCAGCTACAACCGGAGTGGCTGTAGCAGGACGTGAGAAGAAGTCGACACGGGCGTCGGACCGGAGGCAGAGATGCGTGTGGTGGTGCGAGTGGCATATTTTGGCTCGCACAACCACCCACCGCCCGTGTTGGAAGCTTCTAAAGCTCTTCTCTCTGGTCCTTCTGCCATCAGCCTCCTTCCCACATTAACTTGCCCCTCTGCCGCTACAGCCTCATTCTCTGCTACAACCTGCACTCCCGCTACAACCTGTGCTCCCGCTGCAACCTGCGCTCCCGCAACGAACAGCCTTTCCCCCAACTTCTCCTTGCTTCCTGCCGCCTCTTCCCCTTTCCTTTGCTCCTTTGCCTGCCCCCGCTTCCGCCCCTCTGGCTGTTGACGCACCCCAAGCGGCGTGCTTCCAGACTTCCCACTCTCCGTTGGGGTCCATCCCCGTGGAGCCAACGCACGGGTATCCCGCCGCACCCTCCTGTGATTCTCCTGCTTCGCTGGATTCTGCTCCTGCCGCGCTGGCTTCTGCTCCTGCCGCAGCAGCTGACCACGCCACCTATGCTCCTGCCGCGACAAGCCCCCGTACAGCAGCCAAGCCTCCTCCCCCCTGCTCCATCGCCTTTCTCCTCTCCCTCCTCTCTCCACTACTCACCCCCCTCCTCTCCCTCCTCTTGCTCCGTCCTTCGCACATTCTTCTGACATCACCAACAGCAACAGCAACATCAACAGCAGGTGCGTTGTCATAAGCCAGTTGCCAGTGGCGGCAGCAGCATCGGCAGTGGCAGCACCAGCAACAGCAAAAGGAAACGCCTGTGCTGACAGCCCAAGGCTGGGCGTGCTGGAACCACATCCACTGCAACAGCAGCAGCAGCAGTACCAAGCAGCAGCAGCAGCAGCAGCAGCAGCAGCAGCAGCAGCAGCAGCACAGCAGCATCAGCAGCAGCAGCAGCAGCAGCAGCAGCAGCAGCAGCAGCAGCAGCAGCAGCAGCAGCAGCAGCAGCAGCAGCAGCAGCCAGCAGCAGCAGCATCAGGATCAGCAGTATCAGCAGTGTCAGCAGCATCAGCAGCATCAGCAGAAGCAGCATCAGCAGCATCAGCAGCAGCAGCATCAGCAGCATCAGCAGCATCAGCAGCAGCAGCATCAGCAGCATCAGCAGCATCAGCATCGGCAGCATCAGCAGCATCAGCATCAGCAGCATCAGCAGCAGCAGCATCAGCAGCATCAGCAGCAGCAGCATCAGCAGCATCATCAGCAGCATCAGGAGCAGCCCCAGCAACAATACCAGCACCAGCATCATCAGCACTTGCAGCGGCAGGTGCCTGCATCTCTTCTTTGCAGCGAGCAACTACCAATGCACATGACTGGATTTGCTCCCAATGTCACCGCTCACGCTGCAGACCTTACAACTCACTCACCTGACATAACCGCTCATGCTACTGACGTTACAACTCATTCACCTGACGTGACCGCTCATGCTACTGACGTTACAACTCATTCTCCTGATGTAACCGCTCATACAGCTGACCTTACGACTCCTTCCCCTGACTTAACTGCTCACTCTGCTGACATTACAACTCATTCTCCTGATGTAGCCGCTTCGCGCTGCTGCGTTACAACTCTTTCTCCTGATGTAGCAGCTCGCGCTGCTGGCGTTACAACTCATTCTCCTGATGTAACCGCTCACGCTGCTACCCTGCTCCTACCTCTCAGGGGAGTGACGTTCAACCTCCTGTGTCCCAACTTTGCAGCGAAGCAACACGTTGCTATGGCCAGCTGATGGTGTTGCCATGTCAGCACATGATGGCATCGCCACGTCAGCTTGCAATGGTGCTGCCACATCGCATGTGTAGCCACTGCAACAAATTGCGTTGCCGTGTCAGCATGTTGTGCCGAGGCTGGCAATATGGGGGCCGGCCAACAAGGGGCCGGCCAACAAGAGATGGAGTATGGGGCAGAGGTCAGCATCTACTCAATCTCAGGAGAAACCGAGGTCAAGGGGTTGCAGGAGTACCAACTGCCTTCGTTCAAAGCGTACTTGCAGCAGTGCTACCAGCCGCCACAACAGCAACTGCAGGCAGCAAACTGCTGCTTGGTGGGTGGTGGGGGAAGCAGCAACGCCGTACCATCAGCTGCCGAGGCTATACAGGTGGAGTTTTGACACGGAACAGTGCAGCCTGTTTTCTGTACCCCCTATAAGCAGGTTTGACAGTAGCAGTGCTTGCGGCACCAAACACCAGCAAGATGCAGTCTGATGGTAGGAGCAGCAGGCTCTCGACTTACCTGTAGCAGCACCAGCAGCAGTCTCCCTCAACTGTGCAATCGACTCTGCACTGACAATCGGTGTCATTATCAACAGCGCACGATTGGCCCTATTAACCGGGTAAACGTATTTAACAGATTAATGGGGTTAATTGGGACTGACCAGAGCCACCCTACGGACCCTATAGACGGGCACAACAGCATGGTGAGCAGTGGCAGCAGCATGAGCATCGTAAGTAACATAAGCAGCATCAATGGCTGCTTCATGGATCCATGGCCGGATACCTACACAGCAGCCATCGGACAGCACCTGGAAGCTCCCTCTGCTGCTGGTGTGTGCCTAGATGACCTGTACTTGGTACCAGATGACGTCACCAAGGTCCCGGGCGGCATCGGCAACATGAGGGAGTGCCAAGTCATCATAGGGTTTGGAGATTCAGATCTGATGCACTTGTTTGCTGCGCATGGCTGCGATGACATGGATCTTGTACTGTTTGATTGCTCATGCTAGGTGTTGCTTCAAAGCGGTGTAAAACTGTCGTGACGATACTATGTTAGTAATCTTTTGCATTAGGTTCATGGCTTACCGTATTCCCCCGGATAAAACACCCTAGGGTGGCACTAAATTTTGATGCAAAATTTAGTGGGGCGTAATTAGTGGCACTTTTTGGACAACACCCGGGGGCTATGGAATGACATTGTTCTGTTATAAAACCACGATTAAGATGTGTCGTCTTGGAGCCGCGTCGTCTGGCGAAAAAAATCGCCCGTAGCATGTGATTTCACGCCGTAACGTCCTCCCACCCTTCCCATCGCAGCCAGCCCTCCTGCTGCTTGCACGGGTCGCTGTCCATGCTGCCCGCTGCTCGCACTGCTCGCGCTCGCACTGCTCCCTGCCGCTGGCCGCTGTCCCCTGCTCGTGCTGCCCGCTGCCGCCCGCTGATCGCGCTGCCCACTGTCCGCTGCTTGCCGCCCGCTACGCGCCGCCCGCTGCTTGCCGCCCGCTGCTTGCCGCCCGCTGCGCGCCACCCACTGCTAGCTGCCCGCTGCGCGCCGCACACTACTCGCCGCCTGCTGCCCGCCGCCCGCTGCTCGCCGGCTGCCCGCCTGCTGCCCGCCCGCTCGCGCGCGCGCAGCCGCCAGCGCAGCCGCCGCAGCCGCAGTTGCAGCCACGGGAATGGGAAGGATAGAGGACGGATAGGGGAAGGAAAGAGAGGTGGCGAAGGTGAAGGAGAGAGGACGGGAAGGGGAAGGAGAGAGAGGGTGGGAAGGGGAAGGAGAGAGGGCGGGAAGGGGAAGGAGAGAGGGTGGGAAGGGGAAGGATAGAGGGTGGGAAGGGGAAGGAGAGAGGGCGGGAAGGGGAAGGAGAGAGGTCGGGAAGGGGAAGGAGAGGGCAGGGAGAGGTAGAGAGAAATAAAATGAGGTGAGTGGAGAGGGCAGAGAGAGAGAGAGAGAGAGAGAGAGAGAGAGAGAGAGAGAGAGAGAGAGAGAGAGAGAGAGCGAGAGAGAGAGAGAGAGAGAGAGAGAGAGAGAGAGAGAGAGAGAGAGAGCGAGAGAGAGAGAGAGAGAGAGAGAGAGAGCGAGAGAGAGAGAGAGAGAGAGAGAGAGCATGAGTCCCTCCCTAGCTATTTAAACCCTCTCCCTAGCTCATTCTCCTTGTTTAGTTTTCTGCTCTTCATTTTCTCCCACCCTTGGTGGCGGCTAGAGAGAGAGGAGAGAGAGAGCGAGAGAGAGAGAGAGAGCATGAGTCCCTCCCTAGCTATTTAAGCCCTCTCCCTAGCTCATTCTCCTTGTTTAATTTTCTGCTCTTCATTTTCTCCCACCCTTGGTGGCGGCTCGCGTCAGCGGCCTCCGGCCGCGCGTGAGGGGACGGCAAGCGCACAAGGATATAATATCCACTAGGACAACAGCAAGGACACAAATACGGCGCCTACATCCCGCCCACGCTACACTCAGCAGGCCAGCCTGGAGAGCCTCACCGAGCTTACCAGAGCGCTCACGCTGGGGCGCACTTCACCAACAAGGACCTATACACGACGGGAGCCTGTCACGCGACTTGGTCCGCTCCAGCTTCCTCTAGCAGGGCCTTCACGTAGTCCACCAGGAGCATCAGCGCTGACACGGCGCCGCCAACGATGTCTACAGCTGCAGCCAAGTCTACGCTCGCCGATACTCCCCGCATCACGGCGAGCAGGCGCGGGTCCAACACGGTTCCCGGGGCGGGCGCAGGCTGCACTCGCGTTGACACGACAGCCAGATCAGCTGCAGCCATCGCGCAGCGGTGGAGAGGATCATGAGGCATCTTGCACGGGCTCGCTGAGCTCCGTAAAACGGAGTGCGAGTCTGTCAGCATCTCCACAGCATACCCCATCGCCCGCTGCACGTGCCAGAGCCGACGAAGCGTGGCGACTAGGATCGCAGTCTCCGCCAGGCGCTCCCTCCCACGCAGGCCCTCCAGCTGTGCTCTCTGCGGCATCCGCAGCCCAGCCGATCGACGCCGCCCCTGGTCCCCAGGGGGCGAGTCCTCACCCGTGGACTCAGCCCCCCCATCTCCGCTGCTTCTGCCCCCCCTCAACTCCAGTTGACGACTCCAGCGCGCGACGTGGGGGGACAAATGGCGCCGTCGCCATATCGCCGAAGGACGCTGGCACCACCATTGGCGGCTGACGGCCGGACCAACCCACCACGGATGCCTCCAGGGGCGGCAGCTGCCAGCGTGGCAGAGTCTCCGAGGGCTGCACGTTCATCTGGTGCGGCACCACTCGTGGTTGGTGCGGAAGGAAAGGAGCGGCAGGGGGGAAGTCTGGCGGAGGATGAGTGGACGGAAGAGGCGGTGGAGGCTGTTGTTACGGTGGGAGTAGCGGAAGCGCCGCATTGCGCGGCGGGACCGCCAGCGCTGACATCTGCTGCGGTGGGAGATGCGTTTGTCGCTGATGCACCTGGTGATACTGCTGCGACGCCGGAGGCTGGGGGGATACTCCATTGGCTGCTGCGGGGGGCGACAGAGCAGAACAGGCTCTCGAGTGTCGTGGCAGCCCGCCCTAAACGCCTCTCTGCAGCCGATCCGCGGTTACTCCCCCCGCCGGCCCTCCAGCCTTGGTGCTGGCCAGAACGCCCGCGCTGCGCCTGCGGTGTCCGGTGCTGCTGCGCCGGCTGCGCCTGCGGGCGGCGCTGAGGTGTCCCACGGCGGGGAGGGGCTGTGGCTGGGGCTGCACCTGCGGGCGGCGCTGAGGTGTCCCCCGGCAGGGAGGGGGCTGTGGCTGGGGCTGCTGACCCGCCGCGCTCTGGACGCCGTGCACCACTGGTCCGCGGTCAGGGTCCAGGGCGCGCTCGGGAGTCTTCTCCTCGCGACGCCGCGGGGTGGACGGCCGACTCCCCGACCGCCCGCGCATCCGCTCGGGGTCTGCTGACGGGCAGGCGAGGGAACGGAGAGCCCGCACTCCCAATCGCGGTTCAACCAGGCTGGGGCCTTGGGGGGGCACACTCTCCCCAGTGCTCTCCATGTCGGCGGAGCGCTCACGCGGGGGCCGGCCCAGCTCGAGCCCCAGTGGCTGGTCCATCAGGAAGAGATGCGCCGCGCTCAGCCACGACCCGACAAGAACGACAGACGGCGGACAGGGCAGCCCCGAGAGGAGTTCGGGGAGGAGGGGGCAGGAGAAACTCTGGGCAAGCAGCACGGGGTCACGGACGCGGGCGAGCCAGGCAAAGCGACCTGTCCTCTGACGGGGGTCCGCTGAACGGTTTCCAGCTCGCAGCCATAGGATTGCAAGGAACTACTAGTGAGGAGGAGCGGGCTGACAGAACTTATGTACCTGGGGAGCAGAGGGAATCTACAACAGACGCGTCTAGTGAGGAGCGAGACGAGGAGACTCACAGGCTCTCCAGAAACGGAACTGCTGTCCCAACTCCCAGATCTGGGGGACGCAGGTCCTGCAGCAGGCGTAATGCCTGTGTACCGCTGGACACCCATCCCCAGTCATTCTCGCAGCTGTCCCCAGAAGAGCTGGCGAGCGACGCCTCTCGATTCGTCGGGATCGCCAGCTGGGACATCGCGATATTATGCGACACCCCCCAACCCCCACTCTCCCGCCGGTTACCTCCCCAAATTCGTCAAATTTTCGCGCTCGCCCTGCTGACACCCGTCCTTTTCTTCGTAAAAAATCCAACCTCCACGGAGGGTTGGATCTTGTTACTTTTTCTCCCGCGTCTCACCCTTTGCCTACCATTACCAAGACGTCCTGATTGGCCCGCGGCAGAAAAATGCCTCCGACAATTCCTCGCGGGCCAGTGGGACGCTCTGTACCACTCGGGCCAGCGAGCGCGGGGCCAACGATCTACAACGGCTAGGGCGGGCAAGGGTGGCTAGGGCGGGCTAGGGCGGCTAGGGCGAGCTAGGGCGGCTAGGGCGGAAGCACGGATGGGCGGACCTAACCTAGCTGATACCATATCAGAGTAATCGAATGACTACAATGAAGGCATACAAGGGAATATATGGTTGGGTGTTGTACATAATTCTATTACCGTAAGCATCCGCATTTTTGAGCCTAGGGTGTAATCTCATATACTAGTGGATTTTGGGGGTGAGTCTTATATGGATACCTAAAAAATATGTACCCAGATTATATCTCGTACGCACGTGGAATACAAATTTCTGCATATAGTTTTGTTCCTCGTTTACATTCCTGACTCATTGTCGAGTATTCAGGCCCATTCTAAGCCTTTTCAGTATAAAATGTAAAATGCGAATCTGATTGGTTTGACCTTTGTGCTTCCCAATCGAAATGGCCATTTCATATCGCGAGAAAATCCTAGAGAAACCAAATCGAAAGTGATAGTTTATCGACGGTCAAGATTTTGTCTTCAACCCTTACACGGCAGCATAACAAGTTCACGACTGTAAGAACGCACTTGACTTCGTCCTGATTGGACGGCATTCAGAGCGATCGAGCCCTCGCCCCCAACCCTTACCCATTTCTTTCTGGTTTCCCCTTCTAACATTTCCTTAGTGTAAGGAATTACCATTCCTTACTAGGGCTTGCCACAGCGAGTACACGCAAACCTCTCGGTTCCGCAGGCTTGGCCCTCAAGTCACGCGCCAAACCAGCCCCCGTCGACCTTTTCGGCCCCAACCTCATCCCGAGTCGCCCCGAACCCATTTTGATCCCGTCACCCCTGGGACTATCGAGCCCTTGACTGGTCCAACCCTCGACATTCGGCCCTGGTCAACAAACCTACATATTGCCTAGGCCTCATTATTCTGGACAACTCTGTAATCACGTTCGCCTATAGTATTATGCGCTATACTCTGAGTTATAACTCATAGGGGGTGTGTAAATTTGGAACAGAAGCTCCGCTTCGCTCCCAGACTCCTTCTTTTTTCTGCCCGGTCGGTTTTTTCCCGAAGCAACACAAGTTTGGAGACTACACCACCAGGACGAAACCAATGCACCTGAAATTTCAAAATCTCGTATTTCGGGATTGTAACTAGCGAGGGCAATGTCTCGCAATTTTTGCCTGCGCGAGAAACAACCTTGGTGCTCTGGCGACTTGCGAGGCACATGCATTTCATGCTGGCCGAG